AGATCAAGAGCTACCCTGAACTTTACAGCTCACAATACCTAACTCGACTATTGGGGATGCACCAAAGCTTATAGCCCACTAGCAGTTCAATAAACCTCCATTTTTTGCTGTCAGCTTTCAGCTGTGCATATCAGGCAAAGGGAATTGTCAAGAAATAGCAGACCACCAGATCAGACCGGAAGGCTGCATCTCATTTGATGAGTCACAAGATGTGCAGGCCTGCTCTGTGGCATCATTGTGTATCCCTGTAAAAATGATTGCACATGGCTGCTAACTCAAATCAAATGGGAGGCAGGTATGAGGTAAGGACCTAAGAGGACTTTTCTGTTGCTGTGCAAAGGCTATAGAATACTTGGTTTAGAAGACCTGTGTGTCTCCCTCCTTGCCGAGGCTGGCTATTCCGGGGTGGTGGTGGTTTCTGACTGAATGTATGATTGCTGGATAGAGTTGGGAGAAGCAGATTGTTGGACTCCAGCGCTCAGAATCCCCCAGTTGACATAGTCATGCTGGCTGAGGATTCTGGGAAATGTACTCCAACTTTCTAGCAAAACTTTTCTGCATTTACAATTCCCAGAATCCCACAAATGCTTTTGTCATTTTTCTAAATTAATGCTTTATTGATCTTATATCAGAGGAGGCTTTGTAGTGTTTAAAGTGAAGCAGAAAGCATTTGGTATACATTTTTATGCCACCAATAGCAGCAGCCTTCAAAGGAAATATTTTAATAGTCATGAGAATCATGAGAGTAATAGTCGTGATAATGATGATGGTAAACAACAGCAATACATTTGCACTGTCTTGGGAGAACCCGAAAAACCCACAACAACCATTAGATCCCAGCTGTGATCCTTCGCGAATACATTGTTTATTTGTTTGTTTGTTTATTATTATTGTTATGGCACTTCTCAGTCCACGTATAGAAGGACACAAGAATGCTAGTTGAAATTTAATTCAGTGATGATGATAGGAGAGCATCATCTGCCATGTTTGAGGTCAGTTAGCTAGTTCATGGCCAGCAGGGCATGCCATGCAGCACATAAAGCTCTCTCCTAGTGGTTCCCAACCATAGGTCCCAAATGTTAATGGACTATATCTCACAGAAGTCCTGACCAGTATAGCTAGCGGTGAAGGCTTCTGGGAATTTTAGTCCAAGAACATCTGGGGACTGAAGGTTGAGAACTACTTCTTTAATCCCTATCAGTTCATTGTTGCTTCTTGCCACCATCAACTGCCACCTGAGGCACCAGCCTCGCTTTGACTAACATTACAGCCAGCCATGGCTATAGTTTCTTTCCAAACTTAGAATCCTAATACTTCGTACTGATGTTTTATTATGCCAAAATCATTGAAGTTATTATTCACCAAGAGTAACTAGAGAATAAAGTTGATGAGCAGAAATGGTGTAATTAACATTTTAAGATCCAATGGAGTTTATGTGAACAAAAGCAAAATCATACTTCTTTCAGGATAGCAACCCTGAAATTACCACCTCTGATATGGGAAACAAGGAAAAGCAGTAGTAACAGAGCTGGTGACATGCCCTTTGAAGTAAGGGAGGCCAAAAATATCTTCTCTTAATTACTAGCCAGTATGATGTAATGATAAAATCCCTCTTATTTTTAACAGAATTTAGAAGAGTTCTAGTCTTGGAGTTACATGGTGTAACTTCACACCATTGAGATGTATCCATGAAAGTTTAGTTTATAATTAATTCTTTAGCTTCATGAAAACTTAATTTGAGTTAAGGAGCAGAAGCCTGCCTGTGATAAAGGTTACCCACTTGTATTTAAGGACAATTTTCACTTCCTAATTTTACTTTGTACTGCATCATTATAATATGATATAGTGAGCAAAACCTTCTATTAAAGATCATGTTTGATGGGGACATATGCCACAATGCCTCTTCTGCAAATTTCCTTTCTAATTGTTGAGCAAGGTTCACTAATTAAATCCAAAGCACAGGATTCTGAATTTTTAATATGTTTATTAGAAGAAAAGGTTGGAAGATTGTACTATAGAATAGTTATCTATCGCCTTTTAATGTCAATTCGCCCTCTTTTTAAACAATCCAGAGGGCATCTAGGTGCTATTTTGAACCTGTAAGAAAGTTTGATTTGAGGATTCAATTGATTTTTTTTGTCTTTGATTTTCTATAAATGACTACTAGTTGTGTGACCAGGAAAGTACCACTCATGTGAGGGCTTCCCAGTGCCTCAGCTTAGGAAGCCCTAGATAACTGCATACTGGGCCAGTCTATCTGTTCCTGATCTGGGAGAGGGGAAGAGACACCCTTAACAGAAGATCTATTAATAATACTGTAGAAGTGGTTGGCATCTACCACTATATTCTTCATTCCTTCTGTCTGCTCTAGAACATCCACTGCATGGATCAGTGGCTGCTAGGCTTGCAGAGGGGTTATAGAATGTAAGCTGCAGGTGTGGAGCATTGTCCAATTTTCTTTTGAATGCCTCCAACTTTGGAGCACTCACCACCTCCCAAGGTAACTGGTCCCATTGTCATACTACTCTAAAAGTTAAGATGTTTTTCCTGATATTCAGTCTAAATCTTGGCTTCCTGTAGCTTGAGCCCATTGTTGTGTGTCCTGCATTCTGAGATGATTGAGTACAGATCCTGTCCCTCCTCTGTATGACTACCTATCAAGTATTTGAAAGGTGGTATTATATCTTCCCTCAGTCTTCTTTTCTCAAGACTAAACATGCCCAGTTGTTTCAGCCTTTACACACAGGGCTTGGTTTCCAGACCCCTCATCATCTTTGCTTCCCTCCTCTGAACTTGCTCCAGTTTGTTGGCATCCTTCTTAAAGATTGTACACTTCTTAAAGTGTGATGTCCAGAACAGGACACAGTACTCTAGATGAGGCTATTCTACCCAATAGTTTGATTTAAGTAGACGACTTCTGAGTAATCTGTACCAAGAAATCCCTGAAAAATGTGGCATAAGTCAGAATTGATATGATAGCACACTCTCTGAACTTGCTCCAGTTTGTTGGCATCCTTCTTAAAGATTGTACACTTCTTAAAGTGTGATGTCCAGAACAGGACACAGTACTCTAGATGAGGCTATTCTACCCAATAGTTTGATTTAAGTAGACGACTTCTGAGTAATCTGTACCAAGAAATCCCTGAAAAATGTGGCATAAGTCAGAATTGATATGATAGCACACTATTATT